CTAAAGCAAGGAGAACTCAGGTAACTCAAGCTACCTTTCGTGATTATACTTAGCAGCTGCGGCCTTTTTTTGCAGCTGTGATGCTCGCAAACTCTGTTGTTCGTGGTGGGCTTTGTCACCAGGTCCTCAGCAGCTGTCAAGCGCATCTTTGATAGCTGTTCCAACGTCTATCCTAGAATGCTGGCTCAATTCATCAATAGATGAATCTCATGTGTGAACAATCTTAATGCTCAAGGCTGATGGTTTAAGGTCGAAACTAGTTGTAATGTAGTTGGGAGAGGCACAACGCAAGCAATCTTGAAGAAAGAAATGCGACATGTCGCCCAAGAAACCGGAAAGTGCTCATGAAAAACAGTACAGCTATGAAACCCTAACAATGCTTCGAGACGCCGGTTCTGCGAGTGTGTGCTCAAGATTGTCAACTGATCGTAAAGACAGCGCGTCTTGAATTGCCACAGAATTCACCTCACGCAGCAAAAAGTACAAGAACGCTACTAGGGGCTCCTGGCCTTAATACTAGGAGCAAGAAGCTACTAGGGGCTCCTGGCGTCGCTACTAGGAGCAAGGACGCTACTAGGGGCTCCTTCCACAGAATTCACCTCACGCAGCAAAAAGTACAGCAACAGGGACTCTTTCTTCAACTCTTTGACCCGTCGGACACTACTTGAAGTCCGTCGAAGTCTACGTGTTGGGGGTCTTGGACAGGCACCTCACCCTTGATCTGTCAATCCTTAGGGATCTGCCTCTGCAAAGTGACTCTTTCAGACGAAGGACTTCTGAATGCTACGTTTCAGGGGGATCTGTCTCCGGTACTCAAAGATTCTCATTCTGAGCCGAGTTACGGAAATGTTTTAAGAGAATGAGAATAAGGCAAGAACTGCAATTGATCGATTTTGATCGCGCGCAAGATTCCTCACCTCTCTCTATGCAAACCTTTCATGGGACAACAGCTTTCTCCTCAGCCCAGGGGCATAGATGTCGGGATCTTTCTCCAGCGTCTTGAAAGCTCTAAGCATGCTCTCGACACCTCACACAGTGCAATGAAAGCATCATCTGCTCTTTCGTACCGAGTTTGCATTGGTGAAGGCAGCTCGGTGGGACTAGATATCATTAGCACGAACCCTTTTCGATGAATCGCAGTGGGTTCTTCTCCCTGTGCTCTCTCCCTGAATGGAGGTCACCCTAGTTCAAGTCACTGGCCTTCACATCGTCATGCAAGATAGACAAAACCAGGACAGAAAGGCTTGATCTGCATCCGACGGATTTCGATCAGGCATGTTGTCCATTGTTTGTTGTATAGTTAAAGATGTGTATTTAGATATATATATATATAGAGAAAACCAATGACATGTGTTTAAAATATATGCATCTATGCACACTATACATATATACATATATATATATATGTGTGTGTGTTTATAAACATATACCTTTTCTTTGTGCATCTGTTTTTTCATACCTGCGAAGGGGGGGAACGAAAGCCAGCAGCCGCCAGACCCTCTGAAGAAACCATCTGAGTAACACATGCTTACTAGGACGATGGCAGGCACTGTATGCTTCAACATGAGTGTCACCAAGCGTCATCAGCATCATCCCAAAATATTGCATAGATCCGTGGCTATAACAAGTCCTTAAACAACACCAATCTCTTCCACGAAGTTGCTATCTACACGGGCCCCTTTTCTGATAGCAATTTGTCGCTGCCAACCAAATACTATACTTGCCCCAATACATCCAACCAGACTTCTCTGAAAGGATGACTAGGAGGATGGCAGGAACTATATGCCTCAGCATTGGTGTCACCAACCGTCATCCAAAAATATTCCACAGATCCGTGACTATAACTTATAGCCCATCCTCAAACAGCAGTCTCTTCACCCCACCAAGTTGCTATCTACACGGGCCCCTTTTCTGATAGGCACTCGTCGCTGCCAACCAACTACCATACTGGCCCCAATACATCCAACCAGACTTCTCAAACATAGTAGAGACTAGGATGGTTGCTCTGCACATGGGTGCCTGTCTCCACTCCAGTGCTCAATGCCCGTTGTCCAAATAGCCTCCACAGCCCTTCGTGATGCTAATGATGCACTACTCGGCGTCCATTGCATCACTCGCATTACCAGACCCCATTTTCACTGCGTTTCTGACCCTCGCGCTCTCCCCAGGCAAGCTCCGGGTTCACCCTCTCAAATGGTGCCGTTTCGCTTCCTCCCCCCCCACACCTCCTTAACTCACTTCGTTCGGTCTAAAAGCTCAAGCCTAGCCTATCGGCTGGCTTTATCTCGTAATTTATACTATGCTATGTATATATCCAATTAGTTTCAGATTCTGTCCATGATTTTGCGTTGCGCCCTGCATGCGCCTTCGGGCGAAGAGTCGAAGCCATAACGCGGCAGGACATTCATCTGCCTCGCGCCGACTCAGAGAAAACCCTAGTAGCTCGTGTCAAGCCGTTCCACCTATAAAAGCAACAACTCCCCTATATAACGAATACAAAAGAAACAAATGATATTCTTGTTTGGAGACCCCAAAATCGCACCCGCAACACTCTGGAAGGTTCTTGTTGAACTAGTAGCTAAGATATGCCAAGATTACTTTTAAAGTAGGATACAACATGAGGGGTTTAATATAACTCTGAACTAGCCTATATATAGTATATTCAGTATATTGACCTCCGCTACTTGATCCATCATCTGAAGTGCGAGCTTCTTCAACACCAAATCATAATGATAGCCAATTGCAAAATCTGAACTGCACACAGACAGACGTGCCAATGCCTCGCACGCACAAGTTTGGTCAGCGCTGCACGGCAAGCCAAGGTATTCGAAGAGTGCTCTCTGGCCTGATTGGTCTGACGCACCCACAGAGCGATTAGCTCCAAATTTGGAGCATTCAAGTCAACTTTGCAAACTGAAGCTCATCGGCTGCTAAATGAAGCACGGCAATATGGTGCCCACGCGCACAGAAAAGGTGTGCAGCAACAGCAGCATGTTCAATGCATGTGGGAGTAGGTGAAGGCAAGTCGCTGTGGCACATGCGCATTGATTTTAGACTTCAATATCTTCAAATTAGATTCACACGGTCGTCTATCAATTGTTCCAAACACTGCCAAATCGGTCGAGTTGCCAATGTGTGCTTCGCCTGCACGCGACTCTTGGGACGATGAGAAACCGATAAGAACGTCGCCCTTTAGGTTCAATCTACCCGAATCTGTCCAATATGTTTCATCCATTTATGTCCGTGGAGTTTGCCTTTCTGTGTCGTGGGAGTCGCACCGCCGCTACACATGCTCGGAACTTTTCTTAGCTACATGCATCCAGGATGACACTACCCGGAGGGTTTGTAGGCATGCAACGTCGTGGCAAAGATGGCAGGAGATTCGGTTGAATGAGAAAGTGTCCCACGCTGAGTATCATCAGACCAGCCCGACAAAATCTGATACAAAAAAGGGGCACAACTGGCCGGGGTGATTTGGGGACCAGCGCAGACCAGCAGAGTCGCCTTCAGGAAGCTGGGGGTGGTGAACTCTGCCAGCAGCTCGAATTGCAGCTCCAGTGCCACCGCTTTTGAGAGAACGTTTGGACCTGGCTGGCAGATCGCTTCCGCCCTCAAGATCCTCTTTTGGCGGTGCGTGATGGAAGGATCAACCCTGGTGTTAAACAATACTCGGAACAAAACCTGAGGAGAGACATTCCAGCAAGCTGCCCAGTGGGAAATATGCGATGATATACCCCTGAACGCCCACGCTGCACCCCTGAGTTCAGGGCCTTGACTGTCATCAGATGCCTGGTGCAAGCGGTTATGAGGTCTTGATCGGCAATCATTGAATGCGCTCTTTTGGACACACTTTCTCCGGACTTCAGGTGTGGCGTCTTCAATTAGCGCTGAAGCAAAACATCTACTCCCACATCGCGTGCTGATCTACCAACAACATACTGATACTGACCACAACCCTCTGCCTCGCTGTCCGCACTCGACGCAGAAGTCATACGCCGAAAGCGTCCAAGTTTATGGCAGCTCCTGCTTTAAAGGCTTGGCATCCAAAACGACATGCAGTATGCCTAAGGGCCTAAGACCTTACCAGGTTCTGGCTGGTGGAGGAACACACCCTGCCATAATCACCGACAAAGGATACGACCCCGATCCAAGTTGATTTGCCTTGTCCAAATGATATAACTTTCGCATTCTCTTGTCTTGTGAGGGATCCACAGAATAAGAACCAATAAACACGCACACACACACATATATATATATATACAGATACAGGGCAAATTAATGAAGTCCAAGAACTTCTCCTTTCACTGCTTGGGCTTGCAGGGTGCACGATGCGCATCTTATCGCTTTGAGTGCTGTCTTTTTTGTTTGACTTGCTGGTTGGTTGCAGCTAGTGTTGGTCTTTTGGACCCTATGGAAATCAAACTGCTGAACCTGAGCTAAGATCTATATACGCTCTTCGAGCTTTTGTCCATATTGTAGTTGTCTGTCCTCTGGGCGGTTTCTGGGCATGAACTACATGGACTCCTACAATTCACTTCCAGTTTTGCCCTCAAACTTTCGTAGGATGCCCTAGGGTGCCCTAGGATCATCTTGCTTCATTGTTCGACGTGGTGCTGTGAAAAAGCTGTGCCCGCCTCGTCGTGTCATCTGTCGACACGGAGAGGTAGTCATCTGAAACAGAGCGTTCAAAGTTCTTTGGGATAATCTCCATTGCTGTGGTGCGGCGCTTAGGGAACGGCTTAATACCTGCAGCCAAAATGGCTACAGACCGCATACTCACATGAGACGCACGACAACCTTGGGCGTCTATGCCTTGAGCTTCACAGGGTCCCTGTAAGGATCGTCAGGCCCCCCTACTGCAAGGATTGAGAGATGGCAACTGCCATGAACAATGGTTCAGCTGGCCGCTGTTGCAAACATCACCTGCTGCCCTGTCTGAAACTACCCATGTTGATTTAACATGCATTTTGGGCTGCCAAAGTAAACAATCAGGACCTTGCCTCGTCGAGCTTCGATCCTTGCACAAGGTGTGGTAGTGGGCAGGCTTGTGGAAGAGGCGGCGAATGTCTGCTCAAAAATTGTCAAGGTCACGGGAAATATGACGCTAGTATGGTGCTTGCAGTTTTGTGGCGAGAACGCAGGACAGCAAAATAAAACAATTACTGTAAACATGTTCTGTGGGACTTGCCAGGTGTGATCACAATTTCAGGGGCTGATTGGCTGATTGTCGAGATTGCCACTGCCGAACCACCGTTTCTATAAGCTGGATATGCCAGGGGGCCCCGGCCGTATCAGGGAAGCCGGTCTTGTCGATATGGATGCTATGCCCCAATCTTGCAGGAGAGATCGCCTCTGCTGCAAGAATTCTTCAACAGCAGGTAAGATGTACGCCTTGATGCCCTTCAAAGGTTCAAATAACATGATATTCACTGTAAATAACTAGTGTAACCTGAGTGGGTCTGGAACCACCAACCACCAACCAGCGCTTGGCAAATTAGCCACTTCTGGACTCAAGGCCATGCGGCTCATCAAATCGGCTGGTCAATGACCTACACTTTCCCCTCACCGTCCAAAGCGGACCACATCCTGCAAGTTGCGCACGTAATAGATGCGCATATGTATGTATGTATGTATGTATGTATGTATGTGTGTGTGTATGTGTGTATGTATGTATGTATGTATGTATGTATGTATGTATGTATGTATGTATGTATGTATGTATGTATGTAT